CAAAGAGATAAGGTGGGGGAAAGAAACACTGTGCTCTTTACAAAGCAAGTTAATCCTTTGTTAAATAAGATAGAGTGCACTATCACATGCATGCCCACACATTTATGAGAGAGAGTAAAATTGTGTATCAAAACAATGCCCTTCAGGTACAAAGCATAACTTGATCCCATGCCATTTTGAAAGGGAGTCAGGATACATTTAAAATATACAGTATAGTAATGTGATATATGTTTTGGAGGTTTAGTTAATTAGAATGAAAGTCAGTGTGCACATTCAGGGCTAGTGATAACTATCACATCAACAAATGAGCTCTGTTTTTATTAAGGTTTGGAGTTTTATCTATGTCGTAACTTTTTGGTAAAAATTTTGGTTCTGCTGGACCCAGTTTTTTACAAGATACTCTCTAGTGTGAAGATCTGAATCAGTTAATTGGAAGAAAGCCACTGTTAAGCACAGTTTATTCCAATTGATGAATGAATATATAGAGACCTAATGTAAATTTCTTGAATTGTAAGATTTAGAGTTGAGTTTTTAAGTTGAGGAGATTGTGTTGATTTTTTTTTAAAAGGTGTATATACAGCCAGAATCTAGGAAATAGAACCATCAGAGATGTTAATTAGGTTTACTTGTCATAATTTCTACTATGGAAACAAAAGAAGGTGGACTTCTTTTCCAAATCATGCCTCTATTACCTATCCTCTTAGTAGCTTTGTTTCAGGGTATAGATGCCTATTGCTATGGCCAAGGTTTTCTTTCCCCAAAGTTATGTCAGAATAAAAGCGGTGTACTGTACATTGCTGCTTGGCAGTTTATAGTTGCACAACGTTACTTTCAAATTCTAAGTGCCTTTTTGTGCCAAGTGGGACATAAAGTCTGGAAAGACAAACCACTTTTAATGAATTCTAAATTTTCATTGCAAATGTGTTTGTTTAATGTTCAGTATCAAGAACTAAATGTTTTAATTCAATAAATGAATGCATTCCTTTACATTCTTACAATATTAATCTGCATCAACCTAATATCCTGATTATCTCAACAGATTCATGAATCATCCAGCTCCAGCAAACAGTCGTTATAAACCTACTTGCTATGAGCATGCTGCTAACTGTTACACTCACGCAGTAAGTAGATTTACTGGAAGTCAATTCATATGATATTCCAAATAATTCTAATTCCAATCTACCATATATACAAGTTTATAAACCCATCTGTGGATAAGCAGACCCTCACATTTTTAACCAAAATACCGTGGAAAATGCACCACCCACAGATAAGCCAATTGTGAAAATTAAAACATACAAATATTTTGAGGGTCAGCTTATCCATGGGGGGCACATTTTTCATGGTATTTTGCTTAAAAATATGAGGGTCAGCTTATCCATGGATGGGCTTATACATGAGTATATACAGGATATATGGGTACTTTTAAAAGCTATTACAGTATACACTCCCGGATAAGCCCATCCACGGATAAGCCGAACCCAATTTTTGAATTGTATTTTGGCACCTAAATTCTGGGCGTATCTGCAAGTATATATGATAGATTAGATTTGATAGTATGTTAAGTTATGATGGTGAATAATTGTTACTGGAAAGTACCTTTAACAAAATGACATTGCTGACTTAAGTAGATGTTTTAGGAACAGAGGAGAGTCTAACTGTTCCTTCAATAATATGTGTGTGTGTATGTATGTATGTATGTATGTATGTATGTATAGTCTTGCTTCACTTTAGCTCATATTTTTTAAAGTTCCTTAAAGTCTCATGAAAGCTGGTCCTCCCATAAACTAATAAACTGATAAAGATTTTCTGTTACTCTGAAAGGTTTACATTGATTGATTTTAACAAGTTTTTTTAAACAAAATAGTATATATGTTGAAGGTTATTTTTGTTTAGTTTTATTTTAAAGTGGCTCTTCATAAAAGACTAAAATAATATTTATTAGTCTGTTGCCCGTATGTATTTGTAAGTGGCAGCAGCTGGGCAAACTTGTCTGGGACTGGAGGGTAAAGAGAATCAGCCCTGGTCAGTATTTGGGTGAGAGTCCATAATGAAATCTCAGAGCTATTAAGTATGTTGGGGTTGGAAAAAAATCTTAAGGCAGTAGCAAACCACTTCCATGTTATTGCCAAGAAAACTGGATGTCCACACATACTCATCAAGAGTCAAGTTCAATTCAAGGGTATATTGTTTTTAAAGGAGAGAATGTACTAATTCTTATAAAGCATCTATACATGACTCCCAAAAGAGATTATTATGTTAAATTATTTGGGCACAAAATGAATGGCAAGTTACAAAGGCAATACATTATTATCAGTTCTTGGGGCTGAATCGATAATTTATTAGATCAGAGATCTTTGCTTTTGTTATGCATTGCTTTAATTAATTTTTCTGGTATATGCTGCTTATGTATTAAAGATGGTAATGAAATTATTGTTAAAGAGAATCATTATTTATTTATTCTAATTTCTATTTTGGTTTGTGTTTTGTTTGGAAGCTGACTACAGTTTTGTCAGTTTATGCTAAAGTGATTGTTCAACCAAAGCCTTGTAGGTTCTTTTCCATTATTTTCCTTTCATGGGACATGAAATTCATTAAATTTATTCATTACATTCATTAAATACAGTAAATTCATTCAATGTTGTGTCAAGTTTGGATTCCCTCCCCTTCTTCTCACCAAATTGTCATGATGGTAAACTTAAATACTAGATTTTGGGAAACTTCACTGGAAATGACATCTTCCCCCTTTCTCTTTCTCTCTAGCAAAATGTTTCACAATTATTATAAAATGCTGATCAACAAGTAGCCTGCTTCTTATTTGGTCTGTGTTGGCTAAATAATTCTTCTGTTATTTCTGTATATCCTCCTTTCATTTCAAATTTTCTTTTTATATTTGGTTGACCAACAATTGTTGATTAAATAGTTAGTGGGATAGTTAATTTAGTTGCAATGGCCCAGCTTAGGCCATTTGTTATTATTGTTAAAAACGTACCAATTACTTCATTATTTCCCAGCTGAGAAATCTTTCAACATCATACGTATGTTTGTTTTTTAAACTCTTATAGTATTTGTCTGGTATCATTAATAGATTCATTTTTGGTTATAAGGTCAATGGTTTCCTATAACAATTGTGCTTGTATACTGGAACTAAGGAGGCATCTGAAAATATATTGATTAGTATATATGTATTGGCTGGTATCACAATAGTATACAGAAAGCATTTAGCTACGTTATGTATCCTAGACTACCTAGTCTTAGATATCTTCATACAATATTTAATACATACAAGTTAATGAAATGTCCAAGCTTGTCATCATCCTGTTTAGGAGCAAATGAATTTTAAGCAGACTGTAAAAATATTTTAGACATCTTACTTTGTATTTTAAAGCCAATGAAGCAGTTACAACACATAAACACATCATGCAAAATCTGGTTTGCTTAACCATGTGTTTTTGAACAAGCTATAGTAGCGTGATTCACAAATAACACATAGCCTATAAACTATTATTTATAATGGCTAGTTTACAGGTTACACTAAGCCAACATCCAGCAATTTTAGAGAAGACAATCTTGTATCTCTGTATCTAAAACCCATGCATTAGCTATTTTCTAAGTAGTTTCTGCTTTTTTTTCACTTGCCTGATGAATTTAATTTCAGCCTATTTTGATCTCAGATACAACATATTGTCTGATATAGTGCTGTTTTGTGCTTTGGGGTGTGGTGTGTCTGTGTGACACAGCAATTCTGTAACCTGGAGCTGCTGTTTAGGATGAGAGAGATCTTGAGGTTAACTGCTCAAGGTATTTGAGAGAATTGTTTCTCCTTTCCATGATAAAAATGGAGATTAAAAATATATATTTATTTTTTATGTACTAGGATAATATTCTTGTTTTGCTTTAAAATCCCACTTATTTTCACTTCATTTGAAGCAAAGGACAGAGAAAAGGAAAGTGGCTGATGTAGGGCTTTGACAGCTATCCAGATGAAATGCCATCTTCTGGGCATGCATACCACATGCCCAGGAGACCTTGGGAAGGTTTTCAAGCCATTCATTGTTCCATTGCTTTAAGTAGGGGATCCAGAAGGGGTGCTTTGTTCATGAGCCAGATGCCGTATTGAATTATTTGCACAGGCATATAAGGTGTAGAGGGCACAATTATAAATGCCATAAAATACAGAGAAGGAAGATAGCAAGTAACATATTCCTGTTTTTTGTCCTAGTTTCTTATTTGCCCAGCCATTGTTGGTAGTGCCCTCCTTCATCGACTCTCTGAGGATCAGTGGGAAAAGATAACAGCATGGATGTATGGAGTTGGTCTGTGTGCACTTTTCATCGTTTCAACAGTGTTTCATATTATTTCTTGGAAAAAAAGTCATTTAAGGTATATATTTGTGGCACTTTCTTCCCACACTCTAATCTGTTTCTAAGGATGTTTTTTAAATAAGTCTTTTATGTTACCCCTCTTCAGACTTTCAAAGCAAAATAATTTGTTACAGTGGTCCTTCTTGGTACAATTTATCCTTTGCTATTTTAAATATTCCCTAATATATAGACTGTAAAATACTTTTGTCTAGGGAGCTGAAAATTAAGTTAGTAGGAGCAAATAATGACTTCATTAGCACTGATCATAGGAGCTAATCC